AAACTATACTTAAAAATAGATATTAATTATCATTGTTCATATTTAAAATAAGTGCAAGTTTTTTTGAACGATTCACATTTGAAAAGAATATCACTCATTACTATTCATATTTAAAATAAATATAAATGATGGTAATTTGTATTTTATTTTTTATTCTAAATTATAAAAAAATAATTTATCTTTATTGTTAAGTATAGGTTTTCTTTGAATATTTTTGTCAGTGATAGTTTATCTTTGCTTCCAATTCCATTTATACGTAAATTAAACTATTAGTAACTTAAATTAAATAAATAGAAAGGAACTTTTTTTATAAATTATATTTTAAAATAAATATATAACTTATCATTACTTATTTTTATTATAAATAGGAACGATGATAATTCATATTTATTTTTTAATATTAATTTTTTTGAAATACTTATAGTTGTGACAGTTTATGTTTGCTTTCTATTTCATGTATGCGTAAATTGAATTATCAGTACTCTGAGTTTAAAATAAATATATAGTACTTTGTAATCCATATCGAAAACTAACTCTACCCATCATTATCTCCATTTGTTTCAAATATAAGTTATTACTAATTATATCTATAACAAATATAAATAATGATAATTCGTATTCATTTTCAAATAGAATTTTTTTCCTCAATCTTAGGATGTCAGTTTATGTTTCTGTTCAATTTCGTTTACGCATAGATTAAATTATGGATACCTCTAAGTAAAAAGAAATATAAAGTATATTTTATAGGACTTTTATTTGAAAATAAATATAACTTATCATCATTTATATTTATAAAAAATATAGACAATAGTAATTTATATTTATTGTTAAATATAAATTTTTTTCATAATCTAAGCGATCGCAGTTACACCTGTGATAGTTTCAGATCAAGAAACTGAACTGGTCTGTGTACCCAGTTCTTGGAAAAGAACGAGTTCTCAGAGCTGTAAGCTCTCATATATCTCGTTGTAGTCTATTTTCACTTATAGTTTGATTTATATGTAAAAAAATTTACTGGTGACTTAGATTTGAAACAAATAGAAATAACTTTTTTTAAATAATTTTTATTGAAAAATGAAAATGAACTTTCATTATTTATAGTCATTTCAAATATAAATTGTGATAGCCAATGCTTACAATAAATATAAATAATAATGAGTCATACTTATTTTAAATGTACATTTCAGAAAAAAATGACAGTACATTCACATTAGATTTAAAATACTGAGACGTTGATTTATGCATAAATGCAAGTTAAAGTAACGATAAATCGACAGCTTAAAAATCATAAAAAGAGCTATATATTTAAAAACAAATAGAAACCATCGTTATATATAGTTTAAGTAGATATAAGTTACTGGTAGTTGATATGAATGATAAAATGACCATAATTCTGTTAGAAAAACTATTTCCCATTTTAAGAGATTATCCCACCATCTCAACACTAATGTCGCTTCCGCTTTCTATTATCCAGAAACAAATAATGCATCTTTTCTATGTTTTTATTTCAGAAAAATGTTTGCCAAATCAATATTATCGAAATATGGCATATTCGTTCGTCCGCGTTTTGGTGGGCTTCTCCTAGCAGCCATAGTTTTATTGATATGTATTTCTTTGAAAGACGTTAATGGCGACTCTACGGTCGATGGTAAAAAAGGTTCGTCCAATTAGTGTCCTGCAGGAACAACTTTTCGCCGTTCCCCCACAAAAAATTCTTGTTTCCGTTCTCTTATTCCCGTAATGCTTTTGAAATTCTCATTTTTGTTTCATTTTTCAAAGTTCAGAAGGATATTACTAACATACACTAGCTTCTTTCGACACCATATACTCTTAAGTGTAACATTACAGCAAATTTTTTGTCAAGTGCAAGAGCTAAAAAACATCTCTCTTTATGAGAAGCTTTTAGAAACTAGCGTACTCTGGAAAGATATTTTCGAGTCGTTGCAGCTTATGCGGAGACATCTAAACCTAATTTTTCAAGTTTTTAGGGAAATATGCAAGATCATACCTCATTCTTGTACTAATATATATTCACGTACAACAACCTTGTACATTTGTCGGAGATATATTGCTTTCATGTAAAGATCAGTGATATATGTTTTGATCTTCTGCTTGACTAGAATTTTGTTCTACTATGCTTGTCAATATAAATAAGTCACATTGAAAAAAACTACTACTAAAGAGATTCTATGTCGACATCCACATTTCCACTACTTTGTAGTAAAATTGCTATCGCATACAACAAGTTAGTTTTTTTCTTCCATGTGTACTTCTTTAATATCTCATTAAACTGGAATCATTCTCACATAACCGCAATATATGAACTCATGAAACCTGTTCAATTTTTAGAATTCTATATAACTGATAAGATTCATAACGCGCGAACTTAGTAGTTACCTGATGAGCATTATACTCTTTAGATTTTATTGTACTTCTAATGTATGTTGATGGTCGAATTATGTAGAAGTATCTCTTGTAAAAAGAGTATGTGAGAGCTCGAATCTTATCAACGAAAAAAAACCTTCTGCATGCATGTATGGTGGTAACCATACGAATTTAACTAGGTTAAAAATAAAAAGCTGTTCATAAATATATCTTGATAGATATGAAAACAAAAAACAGAAATTTTCGGGAACGTCAGTTTTTAACATCGTTCCCGTTCCCGCAGGACACTAGGTCCAATACTATTAGTAGAATTCACCGTTTCCTGTATCAAAAAGAGTGATTCTTTCTATCCGAAATCTTTTATATCTGACGACGATCATTTAATTTATTTTTAAGAACTAATAAACTCCTGCGTTAAAAGGTCTCAAAGTCAGTAATTAACTCTTTATTCTTCATCTCTCTTTCATAGAGGATTGGATGAATAAAGATTTCATTGATAAGCATATTACTTTTTTCGACAATTGTAATATTGTTTTACTTAGATTAGAGCTGTAGTTCTCCATGAACGAGTTTCACTTTTTAAGATATTCAACATCATTTTATATAGATTATTTCAATGAGAAATGTACGATAATATAGATGACTTAATCTAAACCGTTTGAAATTTACAAAGTTCATAGAAATTGAAGTCTTAATTATTTCCAAACCAAAATATCACTGATTTGAACTTAAATTGGAAAAGATTAAAACATTTTTGGAGTTTTGCCATGAAAACACGGAAAGAGTCAATCAATATTTAGTATGTGTACTATTCGCCAACTTTGTAGAAATCCAATAAATGGTTCAATAATACATTCTTATTGCACTAAAAATGGAAGTACCAAAACTAATTCTTATAATGCAAATCCAAATTTGAATAATTGCATATGTCGACATAGGACAGCTGGATTATATTCCCTAAAAGCGAGAAATTGTTCCATTTCAATCAGACACGCTTCACCCCACAAAAGTCAAGAAAAAACACTTTTTTAAGAAACAACATCACTTACCTCAGAGAAATCATACATCCGCGAGAGATCCTTCATCCATTTCTACCCTAATCAAACGAAGTGAAAATGAAAAATAGTCCATCGAATAGTGATTTGTAAATATATGTTTCAATTCTTTCGTTCTATTTCTTCTTGCTGATGTATTTCTATATGGTAATAGAATTGTGACAGATATGGGCTTTTTCTGTTTTCTTTCCAATTCTCATTGACATGTCCGATTTTATGTCGGGCGAGCCATTTCTTCATAAACGGAAAAAATTTCTTAATGGATTAGTTAAGTTGTTCACAATCGACAACTTTGAAGTCATATAGATCACGATAAATAGAACATTTTTTGAGTGAATCTGAAGTTGCCGCGATATATCTTTCATTCAAATAAATGACTGCCACCTGTGAAGATGAACTCCTATGGGAAGATCTGCAGATGATAGAGAGACTTCTGTCGTGCACCTTAATTCATTAATCAGATCTTTTTCCGACTAACAGCTTTTAATATAAGTAGTTTTCGTACGTCTTCTTTCTTGATCCACGGCTATTTTATTATGTTTGTGCCTATGCTAGTAGTTGTACACATAAATTGAATGATAATACTATCATCTATAATTTTGTTCACGAACAGGATTTCATTGTCGTTATCACTAAAACTATGATAAGCATATCATTCGATGCAGTTTTGTCCACCTGAATCTGAATATGACATTAAAATTGAAATTTGAAGCGATATTCGAGTATAAACTGAGCAAATAAAGGTTCAGAAATGGTCGTTTCCAGAGTTTTTAGCCACTTTCAGCATGTTGTTCAATTTTTTTCATACTTTTTGGATTCATATTCAGAGTCAGCATAAAAAACTGCATCGAATGGTATATATGGCTATTTGACACTCGAGCATTTTGCGGTACTAAAAGCTCACACAAAAGGATTAATTACGGCTTTCTGTGCGATATTTCTAATTGAATGAAACAATTCGATTGCTTATCGATTGTTTTCATGGCTGAATCGACTTGGAATAAATAAAGCAAGTAGTTGTGCATATCTAGGCATATTTTGGAAATGAAAAAACAAGGTTTTCATATATATATAGGCTAATATATGGTGTAATGGCTTTATGGCCCATTTAGCGGTAAAATTCTTTTTTCATATATAAAACTCAATCCAATCTAAATATAAATATGATATTCGTAATCAACGTGCAAAATTGCATATAACTGAAATGCTGCTGAGAGTATTTGAAGAAAAAAAATTTTGAATCCTGGGGGTACCGCGGGGGACGGCAAAAACATCACTTTGACATTTTTCAAAACTAAGTGGTAGGAAATACTTCTAGTAGTACCCTGAGACCTTTCACATAGATAAAAGTCAAAAATATCGCGAGCAAAAAAACGGCCTTGTTGCAACATGTCCTTTTAAGAGAAAATATTACAGTGTATTGGAAACGAGAAGACTTTCTGAAACTAGAACTGCAGCATTTTTTCATTCTCTCCATTTGTTCGAATCAGCTGTTATCGATGTCACATCACTATAGATGAAATTGCACCGATGAAACAGCATCTTATTATAACTCTACAAATGCTTCGTCATCTTTTCTTACTATTAGGGTTACGGATTCCAAGATTTGTTAGACAAACGAATTATCAAGCTAATGCTGGAACGTATTTCTTGGAAGTAGCTGATTTCAATAATGATAGGAGCCTTGACATTGTTGCCTCAAATAATGTCTCAGGAACCATCAGTATTTTCTATAATAAGGGTAATGGCAGATTTTATTCTCAAAAGATCTATTCAACTGGCGGCAAAGGCTCAGACGTAGATACTCTAACAGTTGCTGATCTCAATTGCGATGGTTACGTCGACATTATTGCACCAAATTATGGTTTAGATTACATTGGTATTTTCAAGAATAAACGTGGTGGTACATTTGCTCCTCAAGTGACTTTGTTCACTGGTGCTGGCTCAGGACCGATATCTGTGGACACCGCTTATCTCAATAAAGATCGCTATCCCGATATAGTTGTAGCAAATAATAAGGTAGATAACATCGGTGTTCTACTAAGCAAAGGTCCCGGCATATTTGATTCTATGGTAACCTATTCAACTGGTCCTGGCTCAGCACCGAGATCTTTAGTGCTAGCTGATCTCAATTGTGATCATAAAGATGACGTTATTGTTGCAAACCGCGGTGGATCCAATATCGGTGTTTTGTTCAATCAAGGTGGTGGCAAATTCGGTTCTCTGACAACGTATTCTACTGGTGCTGGATCGTCACCGAGGGCTGTGGCAGTAGTCGACTTGAATGGCGACGACAAACTCGATGTTGTTTCTATCAATACCGGTACAAACAACATATATATTTTTTTCAATTCAGGTGATGGTACACTCAGGCTTACCAAGATTCTTTCAACTGGTTTGGCACCGAGAGGTGTGGCAATCGCAAATATCAATAATGATAGAAAACCTGACATTGTCTACGCAAATAGCGGTGATGACAACTTTGGTCTTTATGAAAACAAAGGCTTTAGTAAATTTGTTCCTCAAGGACCCTATCCGATTGGTTATCACTCTGAACCATACGGTATAGCAGTAGGCGATTTTAATCACGATGGAAGAAACGACATTGCTACTGCAAACTTCGGTACAGCCAGTGTTAGTATATTCCTCAATGCTGGCTATTAATCCATGAACTCAATTTTTTTTGGCAGCAGTATCTGGCAAGATGAAACTATAACAGTGACATTAGTATAGCATTTTTTTCTATATTGAGACAATTCAGTGGCATAAAATAATCTATATTTCGATATATTCTTTTCCTTCTCGACTAACCTAGTAAGTAAAATATTCCTTATCATGTAGAAGTATTTACTAATAAATTCATGGTCAAAAATTGAATTGTCACAAGCGTGCTGAGAAAAATATCAATGGAGTGTGGGGTATGGGGTGTGGGCATGGGTATGACAAGTTGTCATGATACGCGTTTCGATGTTGCTTAAGGATTTCATTAGATGACAATAATTCAATATGATTTTGAAGAAAAATCGCAAGAATTAAATTTATTCTATTACATATAAACTTAGAAAAAGTCTCTAAGTAATGATAAATTCATTTCACAGTGTGTAACAAGCTACTATAACACGTGTTTCCATGTTGTTGTTTGTGGAGTCGTCGCATGGTAGTGCTCATTTATCTGCAGTTGAATGTTGTTAAATGTTTATCGGAATGTTCGGTGGTATAGACTTTCATGCTTCTCAATTCTGAAATCCACTGTGTGTTGTGTGATCGTTGTGTGTCGTTAGTCATGTCGCGTCTTTGGTTGGTACGATGAAAACTTGAACGTTTTGATAATTCGGAAATGTTTTTTTTTTCTAGAATAAAGATTCCGTCGGAGATAGTGTGTACGTAGAAAAGTAAAGTATGCAAGAAGTTTTCAGGAGGAACAAGTTTTTGTTAGGGTGTGATGTTAAGAACTCAAGTTGTGTTTGTTTATTAGGATAAAATATGAAAAGTCCAGGTTCGTTTCATTTAATTACAATTGAAGAAAGCGCATAATG